CTTGATGTTGGTAAATACAATAATTGAAAAATACCATGTTACATATAATATACATATAATAATGTACAACACATTATGGAGTATGCTTCTGCTGTGAGGTCCCGCCTCCATGTACTTATGCAGTTAATCGCTAGACGGGTATTTTTATAAATAATATTACATTAGGGAAATTTTCCTATACATATTTTTGACCTGGGGGTAGAATTGATTGTGAACTGGAAAGGGAAAATGCTTATGAACTTGCAAATTAAAAACATGATGCATTTAAGGTAACCCTTTTCCATTTGAATTTAAGAAGAAAATTTGTTCCACTGTGCCATGGCCGAACCTGTTCCTTTTATATTTAGATAATTTCTCCTGCCTTAAGGAAAATCCCTTCACATGGAACAGAAGAGGCTGGAGTGCACAGAAACTGGTAGAGATGCAGTTATACAGTCTAATTGGGCCCCCCAAACTATCAGCTAAAGAGAATAAATAAATTAAATTGTTGCACATTTTGCAGACTAACAGTTTAAGATTATTTAAAACATAAAATGTATCTTTTTATAACATTAAATGTAAAGAGTCAAATAGAAGTCTTTCTAAAGTTATTTAATGATATTTATATTATGAAAAGCAGATTTTTGACATTTTAAGTTTTCCCGTTGTCAGATAAAATAAACACGCACAAAACAAAAGCAACAAGAACACAAAGCTGGAAAACCCACCCGATTGACCAAAATCAACTCAAAATACTCCCACACAACAGAAACTTCTCTATTCCTTGCTGGCTCCAAATCTCTCATTAAAAATATCAGTGGTTTGCTATCTGTCACCATCAAAACACTCCACAAATCCCGCAAATGATTCGCTTCCTTATAAACCATTGAGTCAGATACCAAAGCAGTTAGGTTCTAAATGAAGCTTCGGACGTCACTGATCACGTGACTCTGGCTAAACGAATCAAGCTTTGACAGAGTGCTTCTGAAGCAGTGTGTTGATTTTTTTGACACACGCACCGGAGCATCAGCTTCAAGCGGGCCATCACTACAGTCACCTTTCTCACTCAGTATGTGTTAATAGACCTCTCTGCATTGAATCATATCTGTTATTAACCTCTGTCTCTCTTCCACAGCATGTCTTTCATCCTGTTTTCCTTCTCTCACCCCAACCGGTCGTAGCAGATGACCGCCCCTCCCTGAGCCTGGTTTTGCCGGAGGTTTCTTCCTGTTAAAAGGGAGTTTTTCCTTCCCACTGTCGCCAAAGTGCTTGCTCACAGGGGATCATATGGTTGTTGGGTTTTTCTCTTTACCTAGGCGACTTTTCTTGTGATTTGGTGCTATATAAATAACATTTAATTGAATTGAATTGAATACCATGCCTTTGCACCCTAGTGAATAGGTTGATCATAACTGCACTGACAAGAGAAGATGAGTCTCCTAAATTTCAGTTACCCCTATTGCAGGCTGAAAATAGGGACAGTAATGAGGATAGTGAGAGTGAGGATGAAAATTAAGGTTTGGAATTGTTCTGTGTGTTTGTTTGTTTTTTCTTTTTCTGACACTGTAGAATGATGCACGTTGGGAAATCTCTTTTGAGTTTGCAATGGTGTTGATGTTAGGTATGGGAGTTGGGAAAGAAATCTCCATGTTTTTTTGATGTGATTTAATGGGGTTGTTATCACAAAGGGGGGAATTGTACTGGAAATTTCTTTATTCTATGTATTAATCACATATTTTAATCATATCACATTGGTAATAGTAACATCATTTTCTCATTTTATTATAGCAAGATCACTCCTGACACCAATTGTATACATGCATGTGGAATGTTATCACAAGTGGGCCTCAGGTTTTATTACACCTCACAGAGGGTGCATTGTAGACTTGAAGATCTCCAGACATCCTCTTTCTCGGGACGTGACAGGTGGTCGTAACATTTCTTAGAGTGGGAGAGGGGCAAGGATGAGCTGGATTGAAGGT